AAAATGAAGCCTCCTTATTTTACACATTATCATTAGAAAGCTGCTATATCGTGATACATTCTGGCCTATCATGAACACTTTGAGGCCAAATAAGATTCCCCAGTATTCATCATCACTGCTCCAACATAAGGTTCCAAACAGAAACACTTTTTCTGAGAAGGACTTTGTCTCTTAGTTTATGAATGCACCTCATACCCCAAGAAACAGCTCCAAGTCATGGGGGAAATCCACATGGCCTCCTCCTGGCAGAAAAGCCTCGACAACATCACCTGCTAAGACAGAAATACGAGTGCAATGTGTATGAACAGAATATCCAAAATCTGGTAAGGCTGAAAATGAAGACAACCATCAGCCACATTAAACAGTGACCAGGGAGCTACCAAGAGACTTTGGCTGGGGAAAAAAGAAGAGTGAGCTTAAAATCAAGTATAAAAGGCACTAACATTTCTAACAGTGAGAAGAGAGAAGCAGTCAAAACCTGGTCTGACCCTGAGGAGATGCCCTCCTGGCATCTCAAGCTCTGTTGAGGCCTGAGGGAGCACCCTCCCCAGCGAGGTGTAGCCCGCGTGCCTGCCAGTGGGCTGACAGGACAGGGTGCAACAAGCACTGACCACTGCTGGGGTGCCTGCACATCACCTTGTGGGGTGCTGTCCCAACAGGTGGGTGGATCAGCGGAGCATAGGGAACAGCACAGGTAAGCATGCAGCTACAGCATCCATGCCTCGTAGGACGTGTATCAGGTAACGTACTCCTAGGAGGGTGGGCTCTTACAACCCAAACCTCCTGTTAAAGGGATAGAGGTGAGCATGTAACTGCAAACTTGTGGGGGGATTGCTGTAGAAGGGTGTTTAGACATCTGAAGGTGTTTACTAAGGTTTTGGAAGGGTCTAGTACAGTCATTTATCTGTTATATTGCTGCTATTAATCCTGCATGTAGAGTTCACGGACTAGCAGTCAATTACAAGCTATTAATAAATCAACAAACCACTTTAATTCTAACTTGATTTAAGCCATGAGTAGTTTTCCCCTACAACAAGCACATGCACTCTCTTCAGTGTTTTCTACTTCACATCAGTATGCAGCCTTTGGCTAACACTTAACTGTCTCAGGTTTTTCTTTTCCTTTTATTATCTTTTTACTTTTCTTTCACCCGAGGGCACCTAAGATATTCAGGAAATCAACCAACTAGCTATACAGGTCACATTTGCTTCAGTACTCAGACTGATTCCAATCAAACTACTACAATAACTGTACTCCCCCAAAATAATGGCTCTAAATCCTGGACCAAAATAGATCATGTCTTTGAAAAGTGGATATTAAGTTCTTGGGTTAGACAAATGAAAATTCAAAAGGTTTAACATACATGCTGCCTTTCTTAATGTGGCTTCTTGAACAGGATGCTCTAATGAATTTAATTCACTAGATCAGATCTCTGCATCAGGAAATTCCAATTAAACACCATATGATTGGTGTGTTTCTCCCCCTGCAACTGACAAAGTTTAGTTTTAGCTCACTTCTAGAAAATATTGTAAAAAAAGTGTCATTCATATTTATTTCTTTTTTAAGCAGAGTAAAAAAAAAACAGTTAAATTTAATTTTGTATGGTTCACTTCTCTACTTCTGCTGATGACATTTTTATAAATTAGAGGTAATCAAGAATCCTTCCCCATGTTTCAACTTCACAAATTCTCAGAGTCTTTTGAAAGCATAAGACCTGCAAAATCTAATGCCTGGGTTACAAAGTGTAGGGCCTCATTATCATCCCCATATCCTAAGTAGGCTTGCATAAAACTATACATTGACAGATCTTCTAATCAAAGACACTGAGCAAGCATGCTCACTGATCTGTGACTCAGACCTTCAGAACCTTTCTGAGGCTCAAAAATACTGATGTTCATGAAGTGTAAACGTGCTTCTTCTAAATTTTTTTTTTTTTTTATTTATGGGCTCCTAACTTTTGATTAGTCAAAATAATTATCTTCCAGAATTCTTTTTTCCATTGTTCTGTAATCAGGAGAAAAACGTTCTGCATTATGCATAAAGATTTTTAAAACTAACTAAGCTTACAAGAGACATTATGTCACCTTAGCAACTACTTTTTAGAAGTTACTTACTCTGCAGAAGCTGATTTTTAACATGCACTTAGAGTTTAAAATAATTTCTAGACTAGCAACTGGCAACCACATTCCTCTTCATTACAATTTTAGAAAGCCATAGCGACTTAACTCTGAAAATGAGAATTAAAATATAACAGAGCCTTATGTGACAAAAACATCTGTTCATAGTAAACTAACTGTTTTCAAAGCTATCCATTCAAGTCCCATACAAAGAAAGTGACTAGTGGAAACCAGAGTAACCTAGAATTCCAAGACGAAATACTACAGAAAAAAATAATTACACTTAAAAAGATACATAAAAGGCAGTTATTCAAATGCAGCCAGCCAGGGAAATGAACACCTTATTGCTGTCAGTTGCGCGCCCCCTAATTCCACCCTACACTGCTCCAACGCCATATTTATTACTCCTCACTTCTACTTCCCCCCAGCCCTTTTCCAAGTTAACGGAATATCTAAACTTTTCTTTCCCCCAAGTGCTAGGAAGAAAACTACTCTTCTATTTCTCCCTGTTCAGAAGGTACATTTCTCCATTACCAAACCACATTCTTACCCCCTTTACTGTTTACATATTCCATCTGTGGAATATGGAATCAAAGAACTGGAAATCCTTCCTTTTCTCTGTAACTTAACTGAGTGCTTCAAACAAGCACAGTAGGAGCACTTCTCCCATTAACATTTACCCAGCACATTCCACCTCCTCATTCCCTTAACACATCTGAGTCACAACCACCAGCTCGAGTGACTGGATATTAACCTACTGAAGCAAAAATGCAGAAAGTTAGTCATTTGATGCATAAGTTCAGAGAAACCTACATCTTGGAAACTGGAGAGTTTCCCCTTGAAATAAGTGAATTTTTTTTAAGCCAGAGAAGATTTGTAGAGATGCAGTATCTTGTATTAAGTCCATTGAAGTATTATTAAAAAAAAAAAAAAAAAAAAAGGGTTTTAAAAAAATGTTAGAAATCCTATGTTGCTCAATTTCATATCACATCATGCCAGCGGGGCTTGCCTGCAACAGGAATTATCAGGTGAATATCAGGGACAGTTTAATGGGCTGTGGCAGATTGGTTAAGGCTCACACAGTAGTGTAAAAAAAAAAAAAAAAAAAAGAGGCTTTCAGAAAAACAAGCTCTTGTTTTAGATTTAGTCTTAACCTTTCAGCCTCTCCCCCTTTATCCAGGAGGGTTACTGTTCTTTTCTAAGGAAAAGGAAAGATGAATTCATTCCCCTTGAATCGTTATGGATTAGGCTTGGAGGCAAAAGCAGGACAGAATATTCCTACCCTCCTTATCGTGATGGTTTGTACATTCTCTGCCGATTTCTTATTCGAAGTCAAAGCCTGGTAGATAGAATAAACCCCCAAATTAGCCCCATTAAATTGATCTTCTAGCCAGCTGAATACTACATGAATAGTTTCTTTCTAAAGACCATTTCTGTTATTTTGAAAACTGAACACTGTTAAGCAGTAGGAGGTAACTTTAATATCTGTATTAGTCTTTGAATCATAATTCAGTAATCCTTGACAGAATACGAAGGCTTCTGCCTACCTTGCCTATTTGGTCTGTGCCACACCATTCTGTCAAACTCCACCTGCTGGATAATCCTAAAACAAGCCCAGAGAAGCTTTTGTTTCACCAGTACTGATACAGCACCTAGATACAACGACAAAACTGATTGAACGGTATACCTGATTATATATTTTTCATGCTTTTCGTTTCTACCATTCTCTATCAGTACTACAATCAAGTGAAATCTCTGGGTAGATTTTTTTTCTAAACACCTCAGGTTAATGGGCCATATTTGTAACTAATATCAATGTCTGGTAATGCAGTTATATACAGGAAAAGTCATAGCTCCATGCCACAGCTAAGAAGAAAAAGCATACTTCATGCTTTTCAGTCTGTGATAGTAGAAAAGCATAAAGTAACATGTCAGAGTAATTTTTAACTAATATTTAGATCAAGTATCACCTTTAATTTTTCAAATGCTTTGAGATAAAAGAACAGGTAAAAAAGAGCCATGGGACTGCAGAAGAATACGAACTCCAGAGAATGCCAATTCTAAGCTAATTGACTAATTTGAAATGTACACATCCATCTGAGCGCTAGGTGACTCTTCTGCTTGCTACTCCTTTCAGTAAATTAAGTCAAATCATGATACATACATTCTGTTAGAGCTACAACAAAGCATCCAGCTTTCTTTATGGCTGAGCTCTACTAGTCGTGTTCAGAAACATTTCTAGCTTTGGGGGTGGAAGGAAAAGTAATTGAATTTGAGGGCTGTAGGTGAAAGGGAGCAACCCGAGATACTTTCATAATACAGAACTTACTTAACCACTTCCTTATATCCAAGTCAAACATTCAAATTTCAAACAATAAACTCACAGAAACTTTTACCCATAGTTTCCAACCCACAAAAACCATAATAATTTAGATCTGTGTATTTGCTGGTATTTTCTGTTATAGGATGTCTTATAAATACACTTGCCACCAAGCACTATTCTTTATTATGATCTACCATCCTTTAGGAATAATTAAAAAATAATGCAGGGTGACATACACTCGAGACTTGCAAGTCATACCTGGAGCAGTCCGTGATACTGAAATGCTGGAAGAGGCATTACATTTGAGAATAGTAACTTACTCAAAAGTTGGGAGAGCATGTATTCACTTGGAATACTGCTCAAATATTTCTCTAGAAACAAAAAATGAACACCATTTTACACAGCTAATGTTGTAGCACAAGCAGTATAAAAACCCAAAAAACTCTGTGTGCAGATTATTATCTTTTCAGAATATCATCACAAAATAAACACAAGTGAAGACTATCTGCAAGGAGAAGTTTTATAGAAGCTTCAAGACAACTATTATTTCTGATGAAGAGCTATTTTTTTCCTCTTGAAAGAAGTCCATCTATTTTTGCCAGATCTCCAAATGAAACTGTTGCAGAACCTCTCTGGGCTGGTCTTGCCTAAGAAAAAACAGAAGAAAAAAAAAAATATATACAGCTATTTCTAAGTTAAAATATTTTGTAACAAGCTTTTAAAGCATCAATAATTTCAAAAGTACCTTCCAACAGAAAATAGTTCAGCTTCACATTACCTGTGATTCATGGAATTTCCAGCCAATCATGTAGTAGATCTGAAACGTGGCAGGTACTGAGCCATCGCTATTTCCGTACATTTCTGTCAGGGCAGGAAGGGAGAGAAAAAAACGGTACACAGAACGTCAGTTCTAAGAACATTAGAAGTAAGTATGACATATTCATCATAATGACTCTTGGTGAAAGATTTGGGACAATAAAAATATCTCATACTGGGTGCATCAACATGGTTCAAATCCTGTCATTATACTTAAGGTTAAAAATATCTGTACGATAACAGTACTTTGTTCTATTCCAAAATGATGGTGGGGGCTTTTTGTGCGTGGTTTTTTTTGTTTTGTTTTACAGAGGTCAGAGAAAAAGACATAGAAAATATGTTCTTAAAGTCATTTCAGATTAACTCATTACCTCTCAAATACTCACCTCGGTATATTGCAGCAGCTGCCAACATTGTGTCCCTGTGTAGCAGGGGTTTTCTATTCCAGGAGCAATTACTCTCCCCCATACCTAAAAATATGTTTTAGCTTTAAGAAAAAGAAGATATAGCATATGCCATGAGTTAAATGTCATGCACTAACGACAGACTTCTACTAAACCAGAGTAAGTATAGAATCCTCTGAATCTCACTGTAAGAGAGAACAACACACCGCCAATAATTAGGTGAGTTTCTTACCTACAAGAATCCAAGCCTTTTAATGCCAATGCTTTGCAATTTAGAGCTTGTATTGCTAGGAATGATTTCAAATTATTACTTCTTCAGCCTGAGTCTTCAAATATTTAGGTTTTCTAATATAATTTATTTTAAGCACAAGTACAAAGTGTTTATTCAGACACACCACTTGTACGTATTTTTTTTTAAACAGATAAGCATTAAAATTACTATCCCAAGAGATTTTTAATAAGAAATAAAATAACCATAATTCTCATCTCTTTAATCACTTACTGCATCTGAACGTTTCTGCAGAGAATTCAAGTTTTGTTTTCATTAAGGAATTACTGTAAACAACAGCAGCTGATCTGGAGTAAGAAGATGCCCTAAATTGCTCTGTAAGTAACAACTGACTGCATATGAATAACTACTTTACAATCCATGACAAATGCATGGATTACTCAATTACTAACTCGATTGTTAAGCACCTCCATTATTTTTTGCGTTCAACAGACTCCAATTTGAGGGCCTATTTATTCTCATTCCAAAGCAATTTCCCGAATCTCCTGATAATTAGGGAGGCTCAGAGGAAAAGTTAGTACACGGGATATATGCTTCTGTCTCCCTTTCAGGGCTTTTCAGCAGCTTCCACTGAACAGGCTCACAAAGAATGGGAATACAAGGGAAGCACAAAATTCATAGCAGACCACGAAGTAGCAAATCTTTGACTTCCGCTTCCCAACATGAATCCGCTGACAGGCGTAGTCTCCTGCCTCACTAGAGATCAGGAAAAAAGTAATGCTTCCACTGTTACAATAAGCTTTTTTTTTTTTTTTTTAAAGGAATAATTTTTTTACAATGAGGGTGGTGAAACACTGGCACAGGTTGCCCCGAGAGGTGGTAGATGCCCCATCCCTGAAAACATTCAAGGTCAGGCTGTGGGGCTCTGAGCAACCTGACCTAGTTGAAGAGGTCCTTGCTCATTGCAGGGGGGTTGGACTAGACGACCTTTAAAGGTCCCTTCCAACCCAAACTATTCTGTGATTCGGAGTTAAGAAACACAGTGAAACTCTTCTGTGTCTGCATTATTGATAAAGAAAACATTTATGTTTCCATAAAGTATATACTTGCCTTGCAAGTCTTCCATAACCTCAAACAATCCTGGGTAGTTGACCTGAATTTCATCAGTATCCTAAAAGAATTGAGCTTAGTTTTAGAGCATATCAAGCTAAAACAGTAGCATTATGCGAGACTTATGCTAGAGCTGCTAACGGACTATTCATCTGCCACTTCTGTTCAAACTGTGTATTTCTCAGAAGAATATACTGTCTTAACATTTCTAAAAAGTTTTGTTTAGTAGCCCAAATGCAATCAAATTTTAATTGAAATGCCATTATTTTCTTCTTGGTTTTAGAAGAAAGTGCAAGAGTGTCTAAAGTTTTTTCAAGCAGGTCTAACATACTCTGACATTTCTCCAAGATGACCATCCAAATTCTACTGGGCTGCTGGCCAAAGATACACTTCAGTTGGTTTCATTAATCACAGTGAAGCCAAGAACAGAGGCAGTCCAGGCTATTTCAGAAACTTATTCAGCAAGGTACACGACACGCAGAAGGAAGCGGTACATTACTTATACATTCGCAACTAGTATTTTTTATATACCAGCAGCTCTGATGTTCTGGATTGTTCTGTCTAATTGTTCTCTTATTTATAATTACCACAGTCAGGGTGTTAAAGCCAGCTCTTGACAGCAGATGTCCCAAATCAGAGACAGCAGTGAACGGTGATACATGAGGAGAAAATCCCCCTTCCCTCTCCAATTCTGCGAGCTGCAAAGAGCAGCGAAGCTCATACAGAGTGTCTCCCCCAAACATTGCACCAATGAATACTCCATCTGGCTTAAGAACCCGGTGAATCTAGAACACAGAAAAAACATAAATTAATGTTTTCTGATATTAAGCCTATGTAACTAAGAAGTTCTTAGGACTTTTTTTTTTTCAAATGAACTTAAAAGCCATTGTTACAACAGTTGTAACAGGTTTTTAATATTGACTGTATTCCACAAGGCAAGCTGCGCAAAAGCTTTTGGTAGCGCTGCAAGATAAATAAGCTGTCTGAAAAGAGACTATTTGTTCTTAAGAAAGAGTGAATCCCCAGAAATTACACTTACAGTCAGGAACCACAAAATGTGCCATGGAAACCTAGGGTAGAACTATTTTCTGTGGGATACTCCTAAAACAATATCCTCAATTAATTTACTTTGGAAAATAAGGTAGATTAAGATAGCTCCCTCTTACTTTTAGTTTCTCAGATGAGTGCAGCAAAAACACTTTTTAATGGCTTGATTTAAGAGAAACAGAGGCCTTACTTTCTAGTGGTGATCTTTGCACTTCTGAACGCACAACAGAGTACTGCAATTCTTACTGTGTCTACACCTACTTATTTTTAACTAGCCGGAACAGCAATATCGTGACTCAAATGCCAAGGTTGACAGGCTGCTTTCTTGTCTAGTAAGTCCTAGCCCCCTTCCTACTGAGGGGCAACAAATTCATACTTTCTTTTGTCCTTAAGAACTGGCAATGATCCCTGGTTTAGATATCCAGAAGAGCCATATTACATAATCAGGCTAACGAGACGGCAAAATCTGCAAACAGTTTACCTTATTGATTTGAAACAAAAAAATCTTTTAAACTGGTATTAATTACGTATTAATCAAGCTACCTTTTCTATGCTAATAAAGAAGCCTTCAACTGACAGGTAAGAAATTTAAGCAGCTGAAGGCAGTTTCCATTAGTTAAAGCCAGTGGTCCCAGAGCAGGAAATGAGCATTCATGATGAAAGCTGGCTAAGAACCCCAATTCCCTCCCCTTTGTGGGATAATGTGTCAGCTATTTTTACTGTGGAGGTAAAAATATTTGACGCTCCAGAGAACACTTAAATTCCACAGAAAATGATATATTTCTTTCCAAGCTTTTTTTTTTTTTTTTTAAAAAAAGTACTGAAGGCATTCCGATTTCTGTTTTTATTCTTTCCATAATAGCAGGGTACTCCTATTCATACCAACAGGTGATAGAATAGAACTGTAACGATTGACCAATTTGAAATAAACGAAAAACCAGCAAACTGGTTAAAATATTCATTGCTTTTGCTCCCAAGTTAGCTGATCTGAAAAAAGTTTTCACCTGCAGGAAGGAGCCGAAATAATAATAAAAAAAACCCCACATTTTTTCAGTAACAGTTTCAGTTTTCTGTCCTTAACAAGTATTTGCTTCATTTAAAAATCAAATAGCCTTTATCTGACTAAAGTTGTATTTCAAAATAAATAGCTGACACATAAAAATAATACAAGTTCCATAAACCAGTTCTGGGGAAGTCAGATTTAGAAAACTCTTGTGCTACAACTAGTAAGAGCTAACACACAATAAAATCAATAACATTGCCTCCGTTTACATTAGTTACCATGATCCCAGCTGTTGAGACTATAAAGTGTTATACAAACATGTTGTTTCACGGTTATTTATTCCAAATTGATTTGAGACAGTAAATTAGTAGAAGTATCAACTGATGCTCCCCAAACTGCCAAAAATACTACAAAAAATACTTGTGTGCAACATGAGCTATTTCTGTGTCTCTTATTTGAAGAAGACCTGGAAATACAGAGTGCTCTGAATGCAAGCAATGGCAAGTGTTGATTTTCAGCATTAAAAAATGGTTTCTTACCTCTCTAAAAGCTTTAGGAAGGTCATTCACCCAATGTAAACTGAAATAACAGAAGCATACATTTTATAATCGCATATTAAATACAATCTAGGGAATGGAAATAATTGTTACGTTATCTAAATCTGTTTCAGAAGCCAAAGCAAACTAGTTTCTCAAGCTGCAAAAGTTCCGAAATGCCTGCCTAAAAGTGACACTAAATAAAAATGAAAGTTCACACAAATAGCTTTTGTTTGTTTGTTTGTTTTTAAGTTGAGAAGATGCAAGTCCTGGAGACTAGTTTGACAAAATGCAGGAAAGATAGAAGGTACATGTTTTGAAGGAAAACAAACAAACAAACCAGTAAGAATCACCAGCACAGCAGTTTTTACTAATGTATACTCTCATTAACTATGCAAGTACATTTATTATTGCTGTTTAATGGACTATTAATCTTTCTTTTATTTTTCTTAAAATTATTCTGAAAAGAACATTATTTAACATCTTCAACCAAAAAATAAAATGTAAATAAGTGATTAATGCATACCTTAAGCTGCTAACAACAAGATCAAATGTGTCTTCTTTGAAAGGAAGGAATTCCTCATCAGCTACAACACTGACCGTAGGGATTTCAGATTCTACAGCATTTTTCTAACGTTGGGTTAGAAGAAAAACAACATCAGAAACTCCCTTCTTTTGCTTTCCCGTATTATGGAATTGAGGCACATTAGCATTCAGAAAGCTACTTACTAAAGCATTCTCTGCAATATCAACTTGAATAAGTTTTTCAATGGTTTCCTGAAATAAATTTAAGAAGTCTATCAAATACTTAAGTTGTTTTACATGTTGATGTTAGTCATTTTTTGGATCGCTTACACATATTTATAACAAGTCAGAAGGAATCTTTTTAACACTTGATAAAACTTTACATAAAGCAGAAAGCATTCCCGCCCCCCCAGCGTAATACTTAGTAATTGCTCCCAGGTAGAATAGCTGAGGTAAAGTAGTAACAGAAAACACATTTTGTGTTTTTAGGTACAGGTTCAGTCAGATATAAAGGACAGATTAACAGCCAATGAAGCACCTTTACTTACAGCACAGTTCACGAGTGGTAAACTGTTCCCCATTTAGAAGTCTCCATAGTGATACTTCTCTTTAACAACTAAGTGCGTCCAACAAAGACTGATCGAAAAAAATGCATCTCCCTACTCAAGACTGAAGGTTAACTGGCATACAACAGATAGCTTCCCTTGCGCTACTGTCTGTCTAGCCTTCGGTGACAATAAATATAGAGCAACAGCCTGCACAACGCACACCTTCAGACTGTAGCTACAGATATGAGAGGAAAAAGAAAAAAAAAAAAAGGAGTTACCTCATCAAGATTCAGAGTATTGTTTTACGTTACAATAGAGCCCTATTTGAAAAGAGAAGGATAGACATGTAGTTATTTTAAACACTTTTAAGTATGAAGAGACAGTACCTTGGTTAAATGTTGAGCTATGTAACCTCTTCCGGAGCCAAGATCCAAAGCAAGAGGAAATGTCCTAAAGAATAAGTTTAGCAATATAAAATGTAAGCAAGACTTAAACTATTTTAAGTTTTAGCCTATATTAAGTCTTGTCCGCTCGTTTCCAAACGTCTTTTCGAACTAAACACATCGAGCGCCCTCCTGACAGAAAGCGGCGAGCAAGGCGCTCGCAAGCCCGCCCTTCCTCCCGAGGGTCCCGTCCCCTGACCGCGACCCTGCAGCTGCAGGAGACTGTGCGGGACAGGGAGCCGTGCCCCGCTTCCCCTCGCGGCGAGGCTTACCTGAGGATATCAAACACCCTGTCCGCTACCCTGCCGCCGACCTAGGGGGAAAGCCCGCCGGTCAGGGGCGCGGGGCAGCGCCCACGCCCCCGGCAGATTCCTCCCCGCTCTCCGCGCCTCGCTGAGGCCTCCCCCACCTTGCCGAGGGGGCCGCCCCGGGCCGCCGGCCGCCGCCCCCACCTCCTCCCCCAGGCAGTCCCCCCTGGC